AGACCTGTAGGATCTTGCCACTGGAACTGCTTACAAGCACCAATTCTGCAATAATTTCTGCTGGTACCTGCCATGCACAAATCCTACATGTCTCCATACTAGGGCAGGAGGATGTGGCAACCAGCAAATCCCACTTTGAAAAAAAGGCCACAGGTCAGTGCCGGTCACAAAAAGTCAACCCTGGGCCACCTCCTACCCTTCCAAGTCTCACAAGATTCCCACTGTTTCATGAGAGAGAGAAACAGGCTTGGTTTGTGGGGCTGGCATGGAGACAAACAGAAGTGCGTGAACAGAAAGCAAAATTCCCAGCTACTGAGATGCTCCAAGTCATCCCTGCCAGTATAAGGATCATTATTTTGAACTGACGTTAGCCCAGTTACTTTTTTAGAAATTACACTAAAAAAGAAAAAAAAAAAAAAAAAAAAAAAAAAAAAAAAAAAAAAAAAAAAAAAGAGGGAAAAAAAAAAAAAAAGAAAAAAAGGAATGAAATCAGCCAGGAAGAACTGGCAGCTTTAACCATCTGCAGAAGATTAGAGGTTGACCGTGTGCTCACCTCAGGATTAAAATAGGTTGTATCTTGTGAAAAAGATGCCCATCTCTAATTATAAATGATAGTTCCCCAGACTAAACAAAGTTTGATATTTATGCTCCATTTCCTCCAGCTCTGATTACAGCCTGATCTTTTAAAAAAAGAAATGAGGAAAAAGAGGTCCAAGAGCTTTGTTCTGGCCACTCTTTCTATTCCTGTTGTTGTTGAGGAATTTTGCTACTGGGATTGTGATGATGCTTCGGGTTCTGGGATTTTGGCTTGCCCTGGGGCTGATGCTGAGCAAAATGGTGAAGTTGTCCTTGTCACCAGGTCAACTGTGATTCTTGTCCCATCTCAGCCTCATCATATGGTGCCTGCAGGTCTCAGGAACTGTGATTTTATTTGAACTCAGAGATGTTGCTGCTCTTGGCATTTCCCCAGACTAGGAGGTTTGACTCAGTCCCCTTTCATGCCAGCCATAGCCTTCCTCAGGTCCACCTGGCTCTGAAGACATTTGACACTGCAAGATGCAGACAGTTCCACTTTAAACTGCAAAGGAGACATACCTTAGCTAACTCCAAATCAGCTACCACTAACCCAAGGAGCTGTGAAATTCACCCAAAAAGTGGAGTGAAAAATGCATGTCCAGTTCTTCTGGGACACTTACCCAGCCTGATATGACTAGCTATGAGAAGTTAGCTGTGTCCATGTTACACTGCAGTGATTTGAAGGGTTGCCACAGTCCCAGCTCATCTTGTTACTCTTGGGTGACAGGGTCCCCAAGCACTGCTTGACATCTGGGCAGAAAGTGCCAGAAAACTGAGCAAGAAAGCAAAATGCACATAATGATGTTCAAGACATTAATAGAATGCTTGAGGGATGCTGTACGTCACTTGGGGTGGAAGATATTGTGGAAACTCCCTGAGCAGGTACCACCACAGGATACAGATGGGTTGACTTTGGTGATGTAGGTCTTCTGCAGAGTCTTCTGAGAGAACATGGAAGATAACAAAAAAACAAGTTAGGGACAAAACAATGTCAGATGGGGAGATTGCTGGGGCATATGGCAGTGAAGCAGTAAGAGAAAAAAAGACAAGGAAAACATGTGGGCAAAAATCCCAGATAAGTAAACTTATATCACAGGAGTTTCAGAGATCCCCCCAATTTTTAGGGGTTTAAATGGAGCAAATGGAATTTTTGTTTGTATTGGGTGCAGGAGGGGCAGGGGGGGGAGGGGGTTGGGGAAACTATCTCCGTGGTCCTCTGGTTTTATTTTCCAACTCCTGTGGTCCTCAGACATGCACCAT